TGGTATCGATGCAGGATGAATGGGAAATGACAGAATGAGCTCAGGCAGCGTGGCAGCAGCACATCCAGTATAGACCTATGGATGTGAAGGAATCCAACACTGCTCACCCGTGAATGCACTTCTTCCATATTCCACACCTTCAATCTCATCTCTCAAAATTTAAAAGAGCATGTTTTCCTTTGTAGAACCTAGTAAAAAGAATACGTCTCCTTTTTTTGATCATTTATATAGAGATTTAAAAGAGCCAAACTCAAAGCTTAAGATTCAATCTTTTTTTCCAATTAGCGAATGCATCAGACAGAGGCTGATGTTTAAAGCAAATGATGCTTAATGTGCCAACAGCTAATAAACACATCATAAAGACATTTTAAGATGGCGCCACATATCATCCTTTTAACCTAATGAAATCCTGTTTAACAAGTGCTGCAGACTGAGGGATCAGAGAAAGGCTCCTGGATAATTTACAATAAATAATTGATGATCCAACATCTGAAACATTAAATAAGAGCTTATCCTTTCAGACATGCAGCTAGATAGACACGGTTGTTGGGTATTATGAATAGATTCTTGTCAATTCTTGATATGTTTCGAATATGCATGTTGATATATGCAAAAAAGCATCTGTCTGGTAAAAAAGTGGGGCTTTAAGAGTGGAAATACTTTTATTTTGTGCTGCTTTTGATGAATTCATTACCGTTGAGGCAGTAGAAGCTTCAACTTGGGTAAAATGTTGTGGAATTAAAAGCATTTTGCTGTTATTTGAGGTTTTAGTCAGAGGTTTCAGTTAGTATTGGGAGGTTAGAGCTTTAAATAACAAATGACTGTGGCCATAAAATGTGCAATCAGTGCATTTCCCCCTTTAAGACAATGCTATATTATTCACATTATATAAACTCGCCTTGACAAACTGTATATAAAAGCATAATAGATTATCAACAAATGCCAAAGTTTTTCAAGATGAGTGGCATACGGTAGTTTTTTTTTTTTTGGAATGACAGCTAAACAATAGAACATGTTTATTGTGAAGGTCATTTTTCCAGAGGATGTGGGCCACATTCAAAATGACTTTACCAGAATCAGTTTAATGTAACACAGCTAACTTCTTTTTGCACATTTCTGCATAAAGTATGCATTAAAGTTTACTAAAACCAAGAGGAATCAGTTGTAACAACATTTTACATTCAGTAATATTACAGCATGTTCCCTCATTAATTTTTAACAAAGCCCGAGCAATGCTGGCAACATCTTATGATCACAGCTCTTTTTAACATTATTACTTTGCCCGTTTTAAACTGCAGCACTAAAAAAATCTGCATGCAAAGACTTTATTTACTTCTGCAATCGTCTTTTTATGGTTACATGAGATACCACCCCAGCTTTTTATGATCCAACACATTTAAATTCCAATGTGTACTAATAAGAAGGAACATTAACTTTTGATTTTTATCCATTTTATAATTCATTTTGGTGAATGTTTAACTTTATTTTCTGTATGTGTACCACTACAGCTTGGCAGTACTGAGGCAGAACTTCAGCAAAAAATAGCCAACATAACCAGTAATCTGGATCTTAGAATGACTAAACATGCCTCAACAAATACACAATTTTATGTCTCAAATTACTGACTACATATCACGTCTAAACTGATTCTACTACATTTTTCAAGGTTACAGAACACAAGCTGGTTTAAATCCAACAAAAGCTTGATAAAGATTTGGATATCTTAAATACTTGGTAGTATAGCGTTTCAAGACTCTATAAAACATAAGAGTTTCAAGAAGGTTTTAATGTTTCTGCCTCTCTTTAATGCTTTTTCAGGTGTGTGCTGCAGTTCTAAGATACACAGCTCCTTTCTTATACCAATAAAAGAAGGGACCCTTTGATGGACCATTAAAACCAGAGAAAGGACCATTGTTGAGAAATAATACAACTAAAATGCCCTTTGTTGTGTTCTAAAATGTGAACATTGCCTTTGGATAATTTGAACCTGATGGGACAAGGAAGTCCAACAAAACTAATAGCTCAGGCAAGCAGGGAAACCAGATGGGGTTTCTCTGGAGGAGCTTCAGAGTTCCACAATTCAGGAAAAACTGTTGAAACGATATGCAGATGAACGTGTTTTGTTCAGGGAAAACTATAGGAATTTCCATTGAAACGCTGCCAGCCACCACAGCATACATGTCAGATTAAATAATACTACTTATACTAGAGATGTCCCCATCCAGGTTTTTGCACTTCAGATCCGATACCGATACTGGCCGATACCAGCCTATCCGAGCATGTATTTAAGTTTAAGTTAAAGTATTTAGCCTTAGTTGTAAGACTCATGTTGAAAAGGGTTTTAGTACTCTTGATAACATCTAGCCAGCTAAATTAGGTGAGATTGAATAAAACACAATGCTTGGTAACAACAAACTTACCTGTTTATTAAGAGATAAACACAAACTGGACAAAATTACGAATAGCAATCTGAAATTGCACAGTGAGCAGTAAAACCGTAAACAGTTAAAGGTGCAAGTATTACTGTAAGTTTTAATAAAAATGCAAAACAGGGAAACACTGGCGCAAAATAGTGGAATGGATCGTTTCAATCGGCGAAACTGGAAAATACGGACCGGATTTTTAAAAAAAAAACTGGATCGGCATTTTACATGCTTTGCCGATACGCATTTTTTTGCCAATATCGGCGTCCCGATCTGATCCACGTATCGGATCGGGACAAGCCTAACTTATACTTCAGCAAAAGTATCAAGGTGCCGTTTTATTGTATCTCATACTATATCCGTTGGTTGTGTTGATCTTTTTACATCTCTTTGCAGGTGATGAAGCAGACTGAAGACGTTTTATCGCCCTTTTATCTCTTATTTCTTTCATCTATTCTCCTTTTTCCTGTTTTTCCTTTCCTGTTCTACTTACTGTCCATATAATCTGTAATACTCACTGCATAATTATAATAAAGCTATTTACATGCATAAATGAAGTGGAACACTATGGCGATAGCTGTACTGCTCCACTTGTGAAAGCAAAATCTGTTGGGCCCTTTATTGGCATCAAGACAACTATTCTTTTTGCCACGTTGCCAGACAGGACACTGTAAAAAATAAATAAATAAACAAAAAGTCTGCCATCACCTCAGTATGGAGGAAGACAACAAAGACGGTGCCCTGGTCAGATAAGACCTGGACAGCCACCTGAACAAACCGTCCTCACCATAAACTAGGGCTGCAACTAACGATTATTTTGCAAATAGAGTAATCTTTTGATGTTTTTTTTCATCGATTAATCATTGGATAGACAAAGGTTCCTTAAAAAAGTTTTTTAATGAAATTTAACCAGGTGAAACTAAAACGTTTCCACTTGAGCGAGTTCTGCATAGAGCATACTATATATGAAATAAATTTCATATAAAATGCAAAATGTTTATACATTTTTTTTTTTACAATTCTGATATAATTACTGCTCTAAGTGGGTTGCTCTGTCAGCTAAAAGCATATTTTACTGTCTCTAACGATTAGTTGATAACTACATTAGTTGACAATTATTTCTATAATCAATCACGATCAGTACGATAAATTTTTTCAGCCCTATCCTTACAGCACAACACACAAGGAAACTGGTTAGAGGCTGCAAAACACTAAATATCAGACATGAAAATCAACCAGAACCAGTGAGACCAAAAACAAGCATGTGTTGTAATGCCCGGCCAAAACCCTGACCTAAATCCGGCAGAAAATCTGTGTCCAAATGTCACATTCCCAGCTCACAGTAGTTCCACATCTATCTGAGCTTGTACCGTTTTGCAAGGGACACAGAAAGACTTTAATCTCTAGAAGAGTGAGGCTGAAAGAGACATTTCCTAAGAGACTTGCTGCTGTAACTGTAGCAATAGGTGGTTCTGCACAGTGTTAACTGTAGATCACGTATAATTTGTGAAGTCCAGTCTGGTCAAAACACCAACGTTATGAAAACCATTGCCTTACATGCAGAGTTATGAGGAGTGTTTGTTTAAAAGGTAGCAATCAGCTCTAAACTGTTCTGTCACATTGCTGCTACACACAGGAAACTTCACAGCTGGCGTGTTTGTGTTTTCCATAGATACTGCTCATCTCTGTGGTGCCAGCCTCTGCTAATGTGCCTGTGTTTATAAGCTAAATGACAAATACAGATTCACAATATTCTTCTAATACGCTACATTCTCTTGTTGGAATACAAGTAATTAGACAGTTTACTGCTGGTGTATCATTAGTCCAATTCCTCTGGGACAACTGAGTGGTGAATAGAATTAACAGTTAATGGCAAAAAGCAAAAAGCTTTCTCTCTGCTATTCAGAGGCAACGTGAAAATAGGATTTAAAGTTATGTGGAGGTAAAAATTACAGGGCTGGGTTTTCACTGCAGTTATGGAGGGGAAAGTGTGAGCAGATTCTGAAGCTTTCACTTAAGGTACTCTGAGGCCAAAAAATCAAGTTAAAATAATTTTAATAATAGCTCCCCTTTCATAGGTAAAATAGGAGGGTTAGGATTGGTTTCAGCAGTGTAGCCTGGAGTCCCTGCAGGGCATTCTTAATTATACAGGTAAAATTAAATTTGCTATTGCTACGAGGCATTTGAGCTGCCTAGATCCAGTTTTTTTTTCTTTGCTTTGCTAAAGACAATAAGTGATTCACTACAAAATCAGTGACAAAGCTGTAAAAAAAAAAAAAAAAAAACAGGACATGAGTGCTTTGTTTAACAAAACACAATTAGCTCTGTGATACAGGAGGGAAATGTGTAAACCAATCAATTCCACTGAATCTATGAGTGCACAGCAGTAAAATTACAATTAAAAGTGACACAAATAACTGCTGCAGAGTCTATGATCCACACAATTTCATCCCCATTTTTAAAATCTAAACAATGAAAAGATTTTTGTTTTTAACAAAAAAAAATGACAAATTTAATAAACCTCTAAATTTGATGCAGTCTTGCATTTCCTGCAGCAGGAACATGAAAAATAATTACCAGAAGTCGCTGGTGGTCAACCACCACTGGAGGATAGGTAGGGACTGGTTCTGGCTCTTCATCGGTCCTCCCAGCAGATCCTGTCAGCTGCTCGGACGCGATGCACACGCTCGTCTCTTCTCTGGAACTATCTATAACCAGACAAATGCTTGTCTTATAAAAGTTTTACATTAACCTCATTTTATTAAAAACACAGAAAAATACAACTTGGACAACTTCAGAGAAACAATCTACCGGTACACAGTTCAAGAAAAAAAAAAATAAAGATATTAATGACGTCTGACTAATAGGATTTATTCCCCTATAGTTCCTGTCCATCAGTCATGTGATCATATCGTTCTATGACGGTGTAGGGAGCAGATCTGCTCGGGCCCTGCGCATGCCAGTGACATTATGCTAGATGGTTGGCTGAATGTTTCCACATGATGTAAAACATAATAGTTGCCCAGACAACAATACCATCACGCAGCGTCCGAATGACTAATGAAGCTTTACCTGATCGATAACAAAACTGAAAGAAATCTGTTTATGGTGAACAAATAACTGCAAGACCATGGTATAAACGGGGAGATCTGGGTAGCGCTGTAACTAGCTGTGTTCAGTAGCTAACAGGTTAGCCTCTTTCAGCTCAGTTTGCCATATTAAGCTACATTACTTTGGAATTCAGATCAACAACAACCGTTCATTTTCTACAAGTGGAATAACTGTTTTCTTCGTCTAAAATCTCTATGGAAGTCATTTTTTAGGACGTTTCATTTGTCCTCCTCTGCCCTCAGATCTTAATAAAAAGAACAAAAATAAACTGAGACTTTTTGGGCCATTTGCAGGCCTTGATGTTCAATTCTGATTTTTTTGTGAAATCAGATTTTCATATTTCCAAATATATGCAACTTGTATGTGATCTCACATGTGTCCCGCATGCGCAGTAGAGGACGCAATGACGTCACAGGCCAGCGTGCTCTTTTTTTCCGGAAGTTAACATGGATGGTAGCGACGGCGCGCATCTAGCGGTCTTTTCCAACCATAATAACTCAATCTTTTCACATGGTTAAACACAAATACTGCTCTCCGCATCATCATCTGCCATGGTTGTTTTTTTTTTATTGCCGCTTCTGCGTAGCAAGACGCATAATAGTGACCTTTGTCGGGTATTAATGACGTTCAGGTCGGATGAATCCGACCTGGCCGTTCAGACACAGGTCGCATTTGAAAAGATCAGAGTCGTATTGGATTCAGGACCACATAGCCAAGTGGCATGGGTCGCATTGGAAAAAAATCAGATCTGTGTTGTTCAGACTGCCATGAAAAGATCAGATCCAGGTCGCATAAGGGCAAAAAAAAATCGTATTTGGGTCACATCAGACTGCAATGTGAATGTAGCCTTTGTGTCACCTTGTAAAGCTCAGTCTGTCTTAGAAGGCAGTACTTTCCTTCAAGACTGACAGTGATTGTTTTCTACTTTCAGCTATTTTAGATCGCAACTGAAATGTAAAATAATAGCAAATACAGGTAATATGTTAAAACTCCAAATGAGATTTGATCCTTAAGAAAAAGGTGCAATACACTTTGTTCGAGTGGAGTTGCCATATGTTGACATCAAAAGAAGGGGCAGGGCCCCGAGCAGATCTGGTACCTACAACGGCTTAACTGTATAATGCGCACCATTCCCTCAGCCTTACAGCTGGCCTGAGCTGATCACATCACACACTGCAGGACCATAACCAAACACACAACTTTTTGTTCATTCTTCAATTAAATGGTGAATTTCCTTTTAAATACATGAAAAGATCAAAGGTGGAGGAAGGAATGGCTCCCGAGTTTCTTAAATGCCACAATTCAATCTTTGAACAAGAAGCTTGAAAGTTTATTTAGTTTACATCATAGACTACAGTGTGCATTCTTATAAAATATGTCTTTGTCACTGTAGCATTCTTAAAGGGGATGACGTCATACACGCGCCGCTTCATTTTTAAAAGACATAAATATAAAAAATATAACCACGGATGTCTGGGGGACAGTGACTTATTGATACGTAATGAATGCTGGCGTACCATAAATGATAAATTATGAACAGTTCAGTTTGTGCCTTCAAGTCGAATGCCCATAGGAAAACGTTACCTGGATATAACAAAACGGAATATCTTCAGAACAGCTCCAACTGACACAAAACTTATATAGGTGAGTAGAACATGATGTAATAACGTAAAATCAAGGGCCAAATGTAAAAAAAAAAAAAAAAACGGCGTTCCCCTTTAATGCCTTCCAAATGTACTCAAGCTGAGGGCCTAACGCAACGTCTATAAGTTCAATATCAACTTTTGAGATTAAAATATAATCTGAAAGTGTAGCAAAATTGGGCAGGGAAGATGTATTCAAAGTGAAACAGTTATATGCTCTAAAAATGCTTTTAGGTTGCAGTCTTCAAATATTACGATACATGAGTACAGCCAGAACTGAAAGCAGGCCAGCATTATTTAGAGCCAGGAGGATGAAAAGGACTCTCTTAAAGAAATTGTGCAAAAGGAAAATGTACAAACCTTCTTTCCCTTGATCCTCCTCAACAGTTTGTGTAACGGCTCCATCATCCCGGGGATGTTGCTCCTGAGTTGCTTTGCTCACATTTTCTTTGTGCTCTTCCTGTTCTGGCTTATTACAGCCTTCAGCTGAGCACAGAGGAGTCCTTATGTCACCCTCATTGCTCCTCTTGGGGCTATGTAAATCTACGCTATCCATTGACTCGGTCCCATTCACACAGTCCACTCGTGAAACTCTGAGATCCTCTGTGTGTTTAGCATCTGATGGCTTGAATGTTTCAGTCAAAGGATGGAAGTCAGTCTGCTTGGCCCCACTATCCTCATCTGCGTTAGGAGGAGAAGCACCACAGTGGTGTTTTTGTTCTCTGTGTTTCTCCGGGGTCTCAGTTTTTCCTTCTTTGGCTGCAGACACCTCCTCCTCTTTAGGCTTTGGGTCCTTTCTGCCTTCGGCTACAACAGGGGGCTCATTGGAGCTTTCTTCTTCTGTGGAGAGGGCATGAGGATGGTGACCATTGGGTTGGGGGCCTGGAGTGTCGCACGATGATTCCTCATCCTGTGTCAAACATGAGTCACTGGGCCCTGCAGCTTCCACCTCGGCCTCCTGCTCCTCTTCTTCCTCCTCGGTCCCCTTCTTATTGTTTTTCTTCTTGCGTATTATGCCACGTTGCCAAGATGTCCGCCTGCAAATCTTCCTCTTGAGATGATCTATGATGAGGAAAAGAGACAGACACAAACATGGAATTAAAAACAGTTTCATAACATGAGAAATTATCAAAATGAGAGTAAAGTAGAACAATGTTGACATCTTAAAATTAGCATCCTTCTATAACGAAGCTGCTGCGGAGATGGAGGGATCCTAAGGTGACAAACTACTGTCCTTCTTACAGTAGCTGAACAGAGGAGTGTTATTACAGATCCTTCCTCCAAGCAGCTGTTTCTCTAAAACCTTTCCAGATCCCAACAAACTCAGTCTACATCTTGGTTCTAGTTTGTTTGATTATTTTGTTATTAGAGAAACATCAATGTTTAATCTTTATAACTAATGATTCATGATCAGAACATCATGATCTGTTAAAGGAAGGGTTTATTTAGTTGTTTTCTGCCTGTTTTGATTTCCTTTTTATAACGACCCCCATTATATACTTATGTTGTATATCTCAATTAAAAGAACTCCGGGGTGACCCAAATTTGAACTTGTATGTATGCTTTTGTACATGATGTCCAGAGAGTATGCTTTGTGTATCTGCAGGCTTACATTTGTCTTTCACTTTCCTGCAGATACACCTGAATCTCCCCACTGATGGACAATTAAAGATATTTCTGTTCTAACAACATTACACCTTCTGCAAAGGGAAATAAATAATGACTAATGGGGAAGGCAGTGCTGCTATATGCATGTATACAACTAATGATGGCAGATGTTGCTTGGGATTTTAAGTGGAGAAGCAAAGCAAACTCTGCTCTCTGGAAAGGCCGTAAAGCTGTCAAAGCAAGCAGGAATGCTAAACGCAGTGAAGCTTCAAGGCATTTGACTTCATTTACTGCTTTTCCCAGGCATACACACAGATGTAAACCAAAGGATCAAAGTCATATTGAAGGGCAGCTGCAGAAAGAGTGTGAAATAGAACAAACATTGGGAGGAAGTTTCCCAGAGAGCATATCTAAATCATAGGCTTATGATAAAGGAACAAAGGCTGTTGTTTTTTGCTTTTTTTCTATTAAAAACAAAGCAGTATTCTGCAACTTTGATTCAAACGCCTTGTCTTAATGTAGGCATAAAACAAAACAATGCACAGCCCCACAGCATCTGTAAGGTTCTAACCTTTATGATCCTGTTAGAAAATGGTTCAATGTTCAAAATCTGCCAATAAAAAAAGTCAATAACAAGCTAAATGATTTCTTCAAGTTATTGGTGAAGGATAACTGTGTGCCAGTAAACAAATGTCTTGGATCAACAAATTTAAATGTATTCATATATGGACAAATTACTGCAAATTGATTTTACTGTACTGTTTACCTGTAGCCAATTGAACAAAAATATATCAAATGGTGAATTAAGAGTGATTACTGTCCTTGCAAATGGAAATTTCCAACTTCTTAGACATAACTTTTCACTGAAAGACCCACAAAAGGTAGCCTGATAAACCAGACTAAATGTGAAATTAAATGTGTAATTTAGTCTGGCCCCGATGAATGAGACATCGGAAGATTGTTGATGAGAACAACCTGTTGTTTTTCAAACTACGTCTGTGCCTATTGGCCAACGCTCTGACCAACGAGCGCAACTGACTGTGACGTAGTAACGGCGACAGAGAGCTAGTGGGTGAGTGTAAACAAACAGCCTGTCGGTAAAACGCCAAATACAACCTTCTTAAAAATGAATGAGCGTAGAGCCTCTTCCTGCTCACAGTTAAACGAAAACCCCAAGTCTAATCCTTTCAAAACTGATTCCAAAGCTGAGTCAAACAAGAACTGTTCAATAGTTGTTGCCATCTTCCTTGTTGTGCTTTCTCCAGCATCGCGCAGCTTTGTCATCCTGCCCTCAAAACCCCGCCCGCTGTGCATCCGGAAATTCAAAACACATCTCTGCATTGTGAATCGCCCGCCAGTTCTGCGGCCAGGGACACTGATCGAGGCTAGACAACTTGCAGGCAAAACTGATTTTGGTCGCTGATGGGTGGAGCTAGTTTACTAGTTTACCCAAAAGGACTATCTGTGGGGATGTCGGTGCAACAGGATGGTACCTTACTTTGTGCTAAAAACGGATGCTACTCGCATTAACAGTAGTTGAACTTTGAAAATTTGCCTGTTTGTAGCAGTTCTCTGTGATACATATCTGTGCAGAATAGCGCATAGAACAGAGTCCTTGTCATTGTTATGATTGTGACAGAGACCGAGGTGGCCATGAAGAATACGGGGGTCTTTGGGACAAAAACTGAACACATTTATTTCGACGATTAGATCAGTCAATCTAGTTATATTGAAGTTCCAAGGATAATGAAATGTACCATTAGATAAAATAGCTATGGGTATGAAAGTTATCAAAACATGGCGAGGACTTGTTAAAATATTTTAAAGACTGTTTTTCCCCAATGAAACAAACTAGTTAAAGCTCACCAATTTAATTCTCAATAATAGCTCAGGCTTTCTGTTAAGAGTCATTGTCCTGCAGGCAAGTGAATCCCTGCTTCAAAGTCAACTACTTCTGCAGCCTTCAAAGAATAGCCTTCCAAGATTTTCCTGTATTTAATTTCTTCCAGTATCTTAGTATTCTATATTCCTATTTTAAGTACATAAAAGTGAAGTCTTTTTTTTTTTTTTTTTTTTTTATAGAAATGGTGGCTTTTGTTTCCTATTGGTTGCCAGAGTATTAGACTAGAGGAATAAAAGCAAATAATGAAAATCACAGGTTTTTATTGCAAAAATCTAACAATAAGTGGGACAGTATGAAGGGTATAAATTGTTTTGAAAGGTACTGAATTGAAGGTTCTTTAGTATTATCTTTAAAAAAACATTTCAGTTGTGGTTTTCTGTCTTTGGGATATTTTATTCTGCTTTTTTTAGCCTTTTAACTTCTACTTGCAGTCATTGAGGATTAAAATTGCATGAACATTTGCTGCACTCAAATAGAAGTTCATCTTTCACTGACTATTTAAACTCACATCAAAATGCACTTAAGTGCTGCAATGAAATTTTTACTGCATTCTCAATTGCAGACAAACTTCCACCCATTTTACATGTAAGGTAGAAAGGCCCAACGGGGGACAGAAATAAAAGGCTCATACCAATGTTCTGCACACTAAACAACATGGATTCACAGAAGATGCAGAACAGCTTTAAGATCCAGATGGATATACAGCAGTCAGAAGTTCCTTCCTACCAACAGCAATGTCTTTACCGGTGATCCTAAGAAAATGAAGGAATAGGAGCTCGGAACGAGGTAGGAAGCTACAGTTTGGAATCATAATGAAGGAGAGAATAACAAAGAAGGAAGCAGGAAAGAAAGGAATGAAACATTAATGTTATTTATATAGCGCCAATTCACGACATATGTCAGATCATACAGTCAGATTGATTCAAACTTTTCTAAGGAACAAGTGATGAATGACAAATAAGAAAGGGAAGAAATAGAAAAAACACAAAGAATGATGGAGGCGGGAGAAGACTGGAGGTAAGGCATAAAGAAAGTTTAAAGAAAATAACAAAGGAACAAAAATAAAAGGTAGGATGAAAAAAAGAAGGTAAACAAGGGAGGTAAAAAGGGCGTCCGGAAGTTAGAAACTGAGGCATGGCTAATGGAAGGAGACAGAGCTCATCTATGAGAAGCAGACATGAGGGTATGATATACAGGAGGCAGATAGATCTTTAGGGTTGACTGGCACATGGGATAGTTTCCCAACTATAACAATGTGGATGGAGAGAGGGAGGGAGGGAAAAAAAAAACAGAGAGAGAGAGAAACCAGGCCAGGCATCTTGGGTATTTCTGTGCAGTGGCATCATACAAAGTGTTGCTCCTTAGTTTCTGTGAGCTTGTGTTTGTCTTATCCATTCAAAATACTCATTTTTGACAAATTCTTACTTTACCTTAAGGTTTATACACAGCTGCCAGCAGCAACATCTATTTGTCATCTCTTGGGTTTCTTGGCTCCATTTCCCTCATTTTTCCAAAGCACCTAAATATCCAGCAAATGTGTATTTTATAAAAAACGAAAAATAAAAAATTACAGTGGCCGAGTTTCTCATGACATCTTCCTCTCTCCACACCACTGGGAAATACCCTTGCCACAATACTTTATTCCTCCCTTATGCAAACCACAACAATTAATCAACGGTGCAATAAAACAGGTCCTGCAGGGGTCAGCCATCGCTGTTGAATGCCATGAAGCGGGCTCCCCAGAGAGAGAAAGGTGAGTCTGGATGGCAGCAAATGACTCGTCAGAGTCAGCTCTTAAATAATATATGAAAACTGTTAAACTATGAAGAGGAAACTACAGAACAGAGATATGCTTATCGGTTGGGAAGAAGCAAGGCAAAGAAAACTGGAGCACTTTGTTATAATTAAAACTGCGTAACCCATGCAAGATTTATGTAGTTGCACAAATTTTCAAGCTGCCACCACGCATACTTATCAGAACAGTCTACAAAAACACAGCAGTAAAGCTTTAGAAAGGAGGCGTATGATGAGACCACTCGTCTAACTGCCACCGAGCAGGTATTAACTAAATGACTCAGCCTGGTGACAAACTCAATTCTGTAGCGTACTTTTGACTGCAGTTATTGTCTCAAAGCAAATGACTGCCAGTGCTTGTCTGATTCACTGTTCACTTACACTCCAAACCTAGTGAACCTTTAAAAAGTTAGGACCTATAAGGTCTCTGCCTGCAACACAGTCAATTAAATACCAAGCGCTTCAACAATACATGTTCATCTGCTTACAGGAGCAGCTGCAGGTAAAAACTCAGGAGCAGCTGACTGAATCCGTCATCTCCAGTGTGAATTTAATCCAACATAAATCAAAACTATCACTAAATTCAGATGACTTAGAAATTAACTGGCTGTTACTACACTGTATTTTTATGGCATCAAAATAAACTATGTAGATTTTTATGCATGAAGACATTTGAAAACAGTGCGATATTTTCAGTACTTTTTCATTTTTCAACCAAATAAAGCTTTAGGTTTATTTCTCTAAATGTTCGATATTT